CAGATACACTTTTAGCTTTGGTATCTGCTACCTTCTATGAGAAGCTTTACTGAATAGGAATGAATTAGAGTCATTAGCTGAAAAAGCTGCAGCCCTTACCTGCTGGGGAGAGGCTTGCTAATCATAACACCTTCAATGGATGGTAGACAGAGTGGTGGGTGGTCCTGAAGACAGGACCTTAGCTAAAGACTATAGCTGAAAGGGACTGTTGTAATGGGGCTAGTCCTGGAATGCTGAGATCACTTAACATGGAGACCCTTTGTGTCCTCTACCACATGAGTAGCGGTAGCCTCCTTTGATTGGCTGTATAGTCAGAAAGGCTGAATCTTTAAAACTGGTCAGACTGAGGACACTCCATCTCTTCCCTGTGTACTGTTTTTTGCTGTGGCCAGAGCTACATCATGGGTGCCATGAACTGAATTGGGAAAGGGGATACTTTCCTCTCTTTTCTTTTATTCTGGCTTCATGAAATGGACCTGAGAGACATCTGTTTCTGTTTTGTGTTGTTTGTCCTTCTTCATTTCAAGTACCAGTGGTGATCCCCACCAGTGTGAGTTTGGGCCATGGTGACTTTGGAGCCACATTACCAAGAGGGGTGTTGTAGTCATTCAGGCTGGCAGGGAAGCCCCAACAAGCTTAGGGTCCCAGGGACTTGAGTATGGGGGGCAGGTTGGACTTGGAGCTTAGGACTGTGAGCTACAGGAACTGAGCTAAATTACGAGCCTAATCCTCTTCCCCTTCCTGGAGACTGAGGTGGTGCAAAGGGGAGGGGAGTTAACTCCCACATGTTGGTAAGGCATTTGTATATTTGTGATTATGCCTTTTGAAATAAATTTTTTAAAAACAAAAGATAATCCAACTATCAGCAGTTAAAAGGAACTGAGGTGCTGGAGACCACCTCTACAACCGAAGGAATGCTCTTGGTGGGGGCTGAAGACATTGGCAGAGAACCTAGGTGTCCCCTCAATTTCCCTTATGGGTCCTGGGGAATCTTGAGGGAAGGGGGAAATGTAACTTATTTGGCCTTCAGGCAGTGGGGGCTAGGGTAGCAAATGTTACTCTATAAAGTGTTTTAATTCTTATGAGCTTGGAACATCTCTGTCTCTTTACCAGCAGCCTTCCTACCCTGGAGATAATTTCACAATGATGACTGCTCATCTGATTGTGGAGTTCCTAACTCAAGCCATCATTTTATGATGGGCCTCTCTTGAAATTATGAGTTTACTTAAAGTTGTAAAGGTGATGGCCTCACCTGCTGGGGAGAGGGTTACTACACACATCATGCTCTACGGCAGAGGTCAGAAGATTATGGCCTATGAGTCAAAAAACATTCTTAGCTTGGCAGGCCATACAAAAAGAGGTGGTGGGCTGGATTGGTCCTGGGGCCATAGTTTGTAAACCTCTGTTCTAGGGGATAGAGGTATTAGCTGAAAAAAACTGGCTGACAGAATTATGGACCTCCCTTGTGGGCTCACTAACCACAGAAACCCACAGTGGATAATGGACAGAATATCAGCTGGCTCTGAAGATAGCTGGATAGTTGAAACTCAATATGGAACAGAGACAGACAACCAATAGTGTCTGGTAGGGAGCTTTGGAGACATAATTCCCATTGGAGAAAAGTTGTGCAGCATCAGAGGCCTTAAGACCAGCCCAATGTTGGTGCCAAAGATCAACAATTGAGGGAGAATAATGAAGGGCAGAACGGCTTGTCAGGGAGAGCAGAGATGTGACACCCAGTGGGAAGCTGGCATACCTTCCAACTTTTCCTACCAAAGATGTATATATTTGTGAAAATTGGCGGAGGGGTTGTTATACTATTTCATTTAATGCCTTTCATTTGAACTGTGTGTCCCCTGGCCAACTAGTTCAAGCAAACCCATTGGCAAGGACTTATAAAGCTATGATTTAGAGAGGATTCTGGCCTACCAAAAACCTATGGTTAAGTTTTAGAGGCCCATAAATGAGGCATGAATCAGGTGCTCAAGTACAAAAAATAAATCAAACTGGTTATTTGCTACTGAGTAGACTAAAAGAAAAAAAATATGTTAAAAAAATTTCACTTCTCAAAACAGATGTCCTAGTGAAAACATAGCTCTCCAACTGAAGTGAAACAGGTCTGTTATAGAAATATATTAGATAACTACCGGACACTTTATTTTTTTATTTACAGAATATGAAAATGAAATTCCATGATTTCAATTCTGTTTTCTAAAAATTACTTGAAAGTTTTAAAAATGTAGCCAAGATATAACTTCCTGATCCCTTTCTTTCCCCTTCATTTTAAATTTTCCTTTTTTTTTTCTCAACCCTTTACTTAACTCACTCTTAGAACTTTTCCACCTCCTTCTCATCCTGGAGGTAACTCTGCCCTGAGGTCTGTTGTCCTGAGTGACGAGTCCAGACCGCCATTTCATGAGGCGTCCCAGCCATACTCACCTTGGTTGCTACTAACCCCACTCTACCACCATGCCAGCAGGCTTGCCCTCCCATGGGTACCTGTCCCTGCCTCCAACCTACTCCCCTGGGCAGATCCTCTTTATATGCTGTCTTCTCTTATTAGAACGTGAACTCCTTGTACATAAGGCTATCTTGCTTGCTTGTTTTTGTACATCCAGGATTTAGCACATAGTAAGTGCTTAATAAATGCTTTCTTTGTTTAAAAATCCTATTGTATGCAAAACACGTTAGACAATGGGGGAGATTCAAAATTTAGTTAAAATGTAGTATCTGCCTTTATAATCTGGTAGCAGAATGAGACAAATACAGATGATTGTAATACATGCTATTACATAACATGCCAGCTTAGTCTAAATTGGGAAATTTCTTCACTCTCAAATAAATTATTGGGGTTCATTAACTTCTCTGCATCAGCTTCAATGTTGGGTCCAGCCATTCTTGGAAATAAAATAATCCACAAAGTACAATTATAATCTAGGACAACACTGGAATTCTGAGGCAATGTTTGTGGTTAGGAGCATCATCTATTCATTATCTATCTAGTCTGTCTATCTATGTATCTATGTACCAATGTATCTATCTATCTTTTTGCTGTCTTCTGTTTACTAAAGAGAAGGTGACCCACTTTATCTCATGAATTTTACCACATTTAGTCATACTTTTTTAAACTTATTACACTGTAATTTATTTTATTAATTCATACCCTGGAAGATCCCTCAACAGCATCAGTTATTACCAAATACAAGGATGGTTATTCTATTCAATTAAGGGCGTGTAACACGTGTACTCAAATTTTTACCCATCTACCTCTTGCTGTTAAATGCAGTCCTAGATGGGGACATCAGTGGTAACCCGATTACTTCAGAAATCACCCATTCGTCATTTACTCATACAGTAAATAAGATTAGCCAGGTCACAGTTGAGTATCACCAGGTTAAATTTTGAGGAACTGAAGTCATATTATTTCAGGCAAGGTTTGCACCTTTGTGTAGCTTGGAATGAAATGCCTGTGGGAGAGGCTAAATCCATGGGAAACTTACTAAAGCCACTCTTGTTACAACAGAATTCAAACTTCAGAATTCATCTAGGAGGATTTAATTACTGAAGAACCATTATGAAATGATATTAACCTTATAAGGCACAGGCCCCAGAGTAGTGAAACAGGGGGAGGAACCAATGCAACAACCAGATCAGATCAGGTCAGACAGGAGCAGAGCCACTCCTGAGGGGAGGTGGGATCACCCCAGTGCCCACCCTTTGAAGACGTAGTTGTTAGTCCCTTTTCTTGTGACTAGCAAAATAATAACCTACTACCACAAACATACACACACTCATAAATACTATACACAAAGCAGTCTTGTTATTCAATATATAAGCACATTTCATTTACGTAACAAGATTGGGGCAGATCGCATAGGTAGCAGATAGAGGCTGAATACCTACCCAGCTTAGGGATTTTAAAAGGATGTTTCTTCAGGGTAGCAGTGATACACTTGACTAAATGCCCTAAAAATGTTAAATTAACTAACATACTACTGGGAAGTAATTTAGAAACTGAGAAGAATGCTGTCTACCTACTTTTTCCTCCCACAAGTGAGATTAAGAGCAGCTTCAGTCACGGTAGTGGGTAGCTTTGCATGTCATATAATATGGCAAAGCATAGCCCAGCTGTTTGAAAAATATCACATGAAGAAGGTCATACAATGAAGGCCAGCATAAAGTTCCTAGCACTGTACTACCAGTGAAATCCTAGTATCAATATCCACTGGTGGCTTTCACAGCTCCCAAACTGTATTGTTTTATTTATTAAAGAGCCAGTGTAAGATCAAGGTCTATCTGAACCAAAAGTTTACTTTCTCCAATTTTTTGCCAAGTACACAGTAGCCACTATATGATGTGGCCCAGCAGTTTTCAATATATGGTTTGGGGCCCCTTGGGAGCACCCTAAGACCCTTTCAAGGGGTCTGTGAGATCAAAACTACTTTTATAATAACACTAAAAACTAAATTTCTAATATGGTAAACTGTGATAGATATAATCCATGTAAATGGAAGTTCTTTTGTGGGAAGGATCATCAATAAAATTTAAAAGCTTTTATAAATGGACCAAAAAGTTTGAAGACCACTGATCTAACTATCGGAGGTTCATCTTTTGTGATCAGAAGGATCCTTCCTATTGGTAGTTTGGGGACTTTAGAAAACCCTCTTAGATGGAACTCTTTAGGACATTGAAGAGAGAAAGATTTGAAGAGAAAGAGAGAGAGAGATGCTGCTATGGGCCTTATAACCATCTCTGCTCCATAATATTATAGGTTTATTGGGGGATTAGAGTACAGTAATATTGTATCAAGCTCTTGTAAATAGAAAAACCCATAAATTATGTTTTAAGTCCTTAATATTTATTTCTAAGATTTACATTTTCTAGTAGAATCAAAGTAGTAGGAGAGGCGACCAAAACTGATCCTTTACCATGGAAATGGACATAGATTCTAGAACACTGCAAGGAGGGGTAAAAGAGAGGCCAGATGACATGACCCTTACCTGTTTTTAGAGCAAAAATCAGATCATCAAACTCTTGCGATTCTTCATCAGCTATCAGAGACCCCTGACCATAGCCTCCAGCAGTAGGGAATGAGGCACCATTCTGAGGACTTGGCTTAAAGTCGGGGGTCACTTGACTCGCTTGCCGAAGGGACGCCCTCTCCCAGTCAGCTGGCACCTTAAAAAATGAAACTATATGAATAAAGTAGCAAAGTACTTTATATGAGCTGTTCCTTTCTTTGCATCCCAGAGGAGAACCAGTCAAAATGCTTCTCAAGGAATTGCTCAGACTGAAGAAAGCTGGCAATTAAGCAGGAGCTCTGATCTGCATATGACTTTTAAACCCTTGATAGAAAACCTCCTCGCTCACCCATCCCCTCCTAAGTCTCCTGTCAGAGGCGGCTCATTCTCTCCATCCCTCCTCTGAGGCATCTGATAGGTTCAGCTTGGCCTTGGGAGGGCAGAACTAGGACTGATGGGTGAAGTATAGGAAGGTGGGTTTTTGGGTCATTGTAAGAAAAAGGTTGGGGCGATCACAATTGTAGAAAGATGGAACCGGGTTGTCTGTGGAAATCCCGAGTTCCTTATGACTAGAGGCCTTCAAGTGGAGGCTGGATGGTCACTTGTTAAGGATGTTATAGGTGGGATTCTTTGTAGTTCAATTAATCGTTGAGCAAGCTTTTATTAAGCACCTATTATTTGCCAGGCAAATATGCTATGTATTGGGGGATATAAAGAAAAAAAAAGTACAGGTCCTGAGAGGAAAGTACAAAAAATAAAATTAATTTTTAGTTAATCTGCTAGGGCAGGGCACTAGCAAATGAGGAGAATTAGGAAAGACTCCATGTGGCATTTGAACTGAACCTTGAAAAGCTACTGAAGGATTCTAAAATGGGAAGATGAGGGGTGCATACCAGGCAAGTGGGACAGCCTATGCAAAAGCATTGAAAAGATGGAGTTGGACCAGATGATGTCTGAAGTACCTTCCAATTCAGCAATTAATCTGACCTCAGATACATATCAGCTGTATGACCCTGGGTAAGTCACTAACCTTTGTTTGCCTCAGTTTCCTCATATGTAAAATGGGGGTAATAATAGCACCTACCTCCCAGGAGTGTTTTGTGGATAAAATAAGATAATAATTGTAAAGTACTTACTTAGCACAGTGCCTAGAACATAGTAAGTGCTATGTAAATGTTAGCTATTATTTTCTAGCTCCTTGACAAATGTTACTGCTTACTTAGACAATCTGGTCCCTCTACACAACAATCCAACGTGGACTGCTCTTTGTATTTCTATGGTATTAGGTGGGGATAAAATACAGATTAAATACCCATATATTTTCCCATCTTTAATTTTGCTTTAGGAGCATCTGTGAGGAGTAAATTCTATCAGAAAATGACAACCTGTCAAGACTGCCTGGCAGCCTGCGCATTTCACAGCACAGTGCCTGGAGTACAGTAAGCATTCACACTTACTGACTTGACTTAATCAGCTTAAATAGTATCCTCTCTTCTTCCATGCTTTGTGACCAAAATGATAATAATTTCCTCATCTTCCTCTAAATGGGAATGTTCCCTTTCACCACCTTCTTCACCTCTCCCACCTCTCCACCTCCAAGGAAATCCACAGCCTCTATCGGCTCTGACAACGCCCTTTGGTGAGATGTGCTAGATCAAAGCCAATTCAAATCCTCAGATCAGAGAATATCCTTGAAGGGTATGTTTTTGACAACATGATGGCTTTAGGTTGTGGCTGGTGTCTCAGCCAGAGGGCTTTCACAGCTGCTGTCTCCCAAGATAAGATTATCTAAGTGGTTGTAGGTCAGGAGGTACTATTGAAAGGGTACGTTTTGAGTAAAGGCCAACTGAAGACTTTGAGGATAATGGAAAAAGAGGAAAAGAACATAAAGAAGTTTAACTGAGGTGTCAAAGATCTCTAGACAAATGCTAGATATTTTTGGAAAATCAGAAATTTTTTTTTTTTTTTTAAAAATAATATCCCTTCCTGGTAATGTCACCTGTGATGTCAAAAACCTAGAATAGTTTTCCTCAAGCTTTGACCCACTGCAGTTTACCATATTCATGGATGTCATGTGCTTCAAGGGAGAGGCAGCTTGGAGCACAAGATATGGACCCAGCTAGGAAGATCTGGGTTCAAGTCCTCATTCTGAAATCTGCTGACTCAGTGACCTTGGGTAAGTCACAACCTCTCAAAACTCCAGGCCAGCAGGTCTCAAAACTTTTTCACAGTGATAGAACCCTTAAGTTTAAACAAAAATTTCACAGAACTCCCTAAAATTATTATTTTTAATGCCTATTAACAAACTATATAAGATTTATCTTAAAATTAATTTATTTAAAAAGCTGGGGATGTTCCTTACAGCATAGTTTGAGAAATATTATTCGAGGCAACTCTATAATAATATAAATTGAAGAAAAGGGGCTGACCGCAGTGGTAGAGTGACATTCCTCACCTAGGGGTTCCCTATTCTGATGAAATCCCAGGTCTAGCCCATCTCCCTCTTGTTTTCCCTTCTGTCACACTGTAAGCTGCTTGAGGCTAAAGACTATATTTTTTTTACTTTTACATCCCCAAACAAACCCTAGCTCAGGTCTCTAGATGCTACTGGCCTTTGTTGCTTACTGAATTTTGCTACATTAAATTGAATAAAAGATTATGAACAGGGTACTGGTACTCCAATTTCCCTACGTTCACTAATGACATGCTCCCCAGACTCTTTATCTGAGCTTTCTAAAAATAATAGCTAACATTTAAATAGCACTTACTATGTATCAGGAACTATGCTAAGTGTTTTTCAATTATTATTTCATTTGATCCTGACAACACCCTTGGGAGGTGCTTTTATTATCCCCATTTTTGCAGATGAGGAAACTGAATCAAACAGAGGTTAAGTGACTTGCCTGGAGTCACATAGCTAGTAAATATCTGAGACCCTGTTTGAACTCTGTTCTTCCTGACTCCAGGCCTGTTGATCTATCCATTGCTCTACCTAGCTGACCATTTCTAAAAAAAAAAGATAGTAAGTTTTTTTCTCTTCCCTTCCTTTCCCTTCCTTTCTTTTCCTTTTTTTATTTTGTCTTTTTTTGATGAGGCAATCGGGGTTAAGTGACTTGCCCAGGGTCACACAGCAAGTAAGTGTCATGTGTCTGAGGCCAGATTTGAACTCAGGTCCTCCTGACTCCAAGGCCGGAGCTCTAGCCACAGGACCACCTAGCTGCCCCTCTTTTCCTTTAAAAAAAAAAACTGTACTAGGTTTCTAATCCCATGAAATTTTATTTAGTTTATTTAAATCTGTAATGGAAGTAACTCATCTCTAGATCAAAAGAGATAACTAGGAAATACTCTCTGGATGTATGGACATATTATGTATGTGTATATTTATATATGTGTTTTCCATGTGTGTATATATGTGTGTGTATACATATACATATTTAGATGACATGCCTCATATTCTCATCTACTGACAGTATCAAAGGATGCTATACTGCATTCCCTTTGCTCTCTATGGAGAGAAATGGGAGAATATATTAGCAGACTAAGGAATGTACTGCTTTGCAGCATATCTGTTGGGGCTGGGGGGTTCCTCAGCCACTTGAACTAACTTTTCTTCCCAAAAAAGCTTCTTCAGTTGAGTTTTAGAACTAGAGTACTGCTTCCTTCCCTGCAAAGGTGGTGGTAAGGAAGGAAGGAAGGAAATAAGCATTTATGAAGTTCCTACCATGGGCCAGGCATTGCGGTAAGCATTGTTGATCATCACAATAACCCTGGGAAGTAGATGCTATTGTTGTCCCATTTTACAGTTGAGGGATCTTAGACAGTCACAGGTTAAGTGACTTGCCCAGGGGTCACAAAGCTATTAAACTCAGGTTTTCCGATTCGAGGCCCAGGGTACCATTGAGCTTCCTCTAGGCAAGGAATTTCTACCAGGGATGGTAGAAAGGGGACTAAGGGTGTAAAATGTGGGAAGAATGGAAAGAGAAGTGAAGAAGATGTATATTTCATAGAGCAAATTCTGATCAGGATTTCCATCAGTGCTATTCACACTCCTTGTGAAAGTTCTGAATCTCTGTTCTGAAACATTTTCTGATATTAAGATTAAAACTAGTATCTGGATCACTGTACCTCTCATGATTGCATGCTGAGCTCAAGGTGAGAAGCTCGACTATCTGGGGAAAAAGAGGTTGGTAAAAATATTTTGGACTAAGAAACATTCTAGAAACTGTGATGTGAGATGCCAAAGTAAGCTATGGCTAACTTACTTTTCTTCAAGTGAATGGCTACCACAACTCATACAGCAGGGAGAAGAATAAGGTCATCAGACAGGATGATACATAATATGGTATAGTGACAATAAAGTTGGCCTGAGAATCAGGAGACCTGGGTTCTAATCCTGTCCTGGCCCTACCAGTCTTAATCAAATCTTTTCATCTCTCTGGCCCTTATTTGATTAAACTGTAAAATGACAGGGCTAGTTTCCATGAGCTCTAATCTCCCTTCTAGCTCTGACATTCTGGAATTCTTCGAGGTGGGACTCATCTGCCCTTCTTCACAAAAGAAGACAAATGACAGGTACCTCTTCCATAGCGCTGATGAGATTCTGGGTCGATTTGCTGATCTCACCCCCCGCAGAAGGCATGCCACTGCCTGCTGTGAAAAAAGCCGAACCTGGCCCAGGGTGCCCATTCATTTCCACAGTGTAGCTGGCTTTCATTGGGCAGCACATCTGGTTGTGTAGAATGAAATACACCACAAAGACATAAAGGCCCTGTGAAGGAAAAAAAATACCACCAAGTCAGAGAAGAATTTGCTGGATTGGCTTAAAATGTCACTTTTGTAAGAGTTCATATTTTGGGATAGCAGTCACTCCATGGTCTCCCCAAGACAGATAGTTATATGATTGTGGCATGCTGGGAGAATAACAAGCCACCATTCTAATAGTAAAATTTCAAGCATGTTAGCAAATGTCATCTGGTATAGAGCTGCTGAATCACTGAAAATTATTTCCCAATTAACTCCATATAGCTGTATAATAAAGTCAAGGTAATGAGTATAACACTTCTCAGCAGTCAGAGAAAAGTACCATATCCCATTTGCAACAGGACTTTTCCTCTGCAGTAATCTCCATCCCAGCTGTGGAAAAAAAAGGCCATCTTTTTCAAATGTGTAAATCTCATATACTCTGGTTGTTTTACCTTGGTGCAAATTAGAGTGTTTGGGATGAAAGGCTGATGACTAATTGTCTCATCCTTTCCCCTGCATCTTGTGTTCACATCAGGCTCCCTCACGTTTTACTTTCTCCCTGTCTTGGTGTGATAGAAAGAAGAGCGGGACAGGAATGAAGACGTCTGGCTCCTACTCTCGATTCCACTCCTTAGTAACTGGAGGGACTTGGGTAAATGGTTTAAATTCTCCCCCCTCCCTCCAATAGAACTTTCCCTTGAAACAAAGAAGGGTAGCTTAGGAAAAACAAGCATATTGGTGGGTCTTGCCTCTCTGGAAAGTGAGGGAGGAACACTTCACCATCAATTCTGAAATCACAACTGGTCACCGCATTGATGAGAGTTCTGATGCCTGTCAGGGTTACTTTTCTTTACATTATTGTGGACATTTTTGCAAATTTTTCTTTTGGTCCTGGTTACTTTGTTCTATATTAATTCATATAAGTCTACGTTTCCTTGATTCTTTTCCTTTGGTATAATAATATTCCATTTTGTTGTTCAGTCATTTCTGACTCTTTGTGAAATCATTTGGGGTTTTCTTGGCAAAGATACTGGAGTGGTTTGCCATTTCCTTTTCCAGATGAGGAAAATGAGGCAAACAGGGTTAAATGACTTACCCAGGGTTACCTAGTTAGTAAGTGTCTGAGGCTAGATTTGAACTCAGGAAGATGAGTCTTCCTGACTTGAGGCCACTGTAACACCTAGTTGCTCTAAGAAAGCTGGACTTCAAGACAGGAAGATTTAGCACTGAGGTGGCTGTAATGCCAGTAATCTCTTAGTTCAGGGTTTATGTCGGGATGAAATGAAGTTCTTGGAAGTCACTTGAAAAGCAAACAAAAGGAGGTTTAACACACCAAGGCGCTGGATGTGGTTCCCCATTCTTTATGGAAATTGTCTGGTCATCAGGGCAGGATACAATGAAAAAGAAGGGAATTTTAGGGGTTTTCTGAATCCAATAAATCAGATGGGCCCTGATTCCACATCTAGGACTTTTTATGCCCTTTGATGACCAGGAAGCTGCATAAGAGAAGCTGGAATTAATCAGATGCCAGGAACAGTTTTGTCTCCTTTTAGGGAAAGCTAATCCATGGCCAGTAGGTGGTACAGTGTATGGAGCAGTGGGCCTGGAGTCAGGAAAGATCTGAGTACAAATCCAGCCTCAGATACTTACTAGCTACATAACGCTGGGCAAGTCATTTAACCCCTACTAGCCTCAGTTATTCATCTGTAAAATGGGGACACACTGGAAAAGGAAAAGATACTAGAGTATCTTTGCCAAGAAAACCCCACAGATGATGTCCATGGGGTCATGTAGAGTTGGACCCAACTGAATGACTGAACAATAACAATCCATGGCAGGAAGGAAGCAGGAGGGTTGGACCCAGGGATCGGCTAGAGCCAGCCTTATGGGCTCTCAGACTATTTACACCTCAGAAATTAGCAATTACTACAAATCAGAGTTTGATTTATTGTTTTGATTGTCTAGAATTAAGAAAATGAAGGAGAAAGTATTTTAATAATGCAGAATAAACTTAAAAGTGTACCATGCATACCTTTTTTTTCCGCCTTAAAGAGCTAGTTGTTAAACATTTACTAGCCCACCCCTGGGGGGGCCTAATTAAAGATGAGGGAAACACTAGTAGATATTAGTCCTATCACTCCTAAGTCCAAGTGTCATCTCTGACATTGACTATGTGATCCTGGGTAAGTCATTTAATCTCTCCTTTTAGACAAGTCTAATCCTTTTATTTGCCAGGAAGATGCTGACCTCTCTTGGTAAAATTTCCTCATCCAGGAATTCCCTCTGCAGTGAAATCACAAGTTCATTCCCTATTCTACATTCAATACCATACTTTGTTCAGCCTTTCTCCAATTGACGAAGACATACTTTATTTTCATTTCTTTGCTACCACAGAAAGTGCTGCTATATTTTTATATGTATGAAATTTTTCCCCTCTATCTTTCTTGGGATACTTACTTGATATATTTCTGGATGGTACAGTTTAGTGACTTTTCTCGGATAATTCCAAATTGCTCTTCTTGAATGGTTATATCAGTTTATAGCTTCACCAACAGTATATTCGTGTTCCTGTATTCCCACAGCCCCTTCAACGCTGACCAATTTTTTCTTTTTGTTATCTTTGCCAATCTAATGGGTTTGAAGTAAACCCTGAGTTGTTTTAATTTTCAATTATCTTATTATTAGTGATTTGAAGCATTCTTTCATATGGTCGTAGGTTGCCAACATCACCTCTGACCTGTCTATTCATATCCTTTGACCACTTACCTATTAGGGAACATTTTTGTTCTTACATGTTTACATCAATTCCTTATATCTTGAATACTTTTCAGAGCTCTTTTCTGCTAAAATCCCCCTCCCTCTAATCAACAGCTTCTCAACTCATTCAAGTTGCACTGATTTTGTCCATTGAAAAAGATTTTAAAATTTTATGTAATCAGAATTTTCTTTTTCATCTTTTATGATCACTGACATCTCGTTTCGTTAAAAAATATCCCTCTAGCCATATTTATGTATCACTTAACTCGTCTGAACTGGTTTCCTTATCTGTAGAATGGGGACCATAATACTTGTCTTTCAACTTCACAGAGTTTTGTTATGAGGATCAAGGGAGATAACATGTGAAAGTGCTTTGAAAGCTATAATGTGCTATGTGTTATTTATTATTTATTGAGATTATAAAATCATTGGCCTGTGGAATACTGTAGACTGCTTAACACCCAACTTGTACTGTGCTTGTTACATAAGAGCAACAAAGCTATTTCATAATTTCTTACTGACCTGATGGCCCTTTAAATTTTTTTGCAATTATGTCAAGCTCTTGAAAATTGCCCTGCTTCCGTCACAGATAGCAAAAAAATTTTATTTGTTTTCAATTCACTGCCTACACTGATGGTCATTTATGATTTTTACAAAGGGCTCACTGTATATTTCTAATGGTGCCTCTTTATAGCTTGCTAATTTTGACCTTTACGCTCAGCCAGTAAAATATCTTAAATTGTGCCTTTTGTCTACCCATTAATCCTGTTACTTAATTTTTGGAATTTTCCGAGTCAATGAGATATTTAATTCCTAAAAAATCCCCAAACTGCTCAACTTCATAAGTGAAAGAAACACTCATAAGGTAAGGCATTAACTCAGAGGGTGCTCAGCAAATAGAATTAAGACTAGCTAGATGGAATTTGCATTTTCCCATTATTCCCATTGTTTCTAGGATACTAGAAACAATAACATACCATGAATTTATAGGTTTAACATTTGTAACTCTAAATAGCCTACAAGAAATTACTCAAAGCTTCAAAACTACTAACTCATGTGAATCTTAATATGAAACAATTACTATTCTGAAAAGCAATTTGCAACTCTGCCCCCAGAGTCACCAACTATCCTTCAACTCAGCAATAGTACAAGTGGGCCTATACCTCAAAGAGATAAAAGAAAGAAGAGAAGGTCCCTTGTGTACAAAAATATTTGCAACAGTTATTTTTTTTATAACAAAAATATGGAAATTAAGGGGATGCTCATCACTTGGGGACAGTTGATCAAATTATGATATACAGAATGTAAAGGAATATTATTACAAAGAAATGTTGAAAGGGACAGTTTCAGAGACACCTGGGAAGACTTATGACCTGATGCAGACTGAAGTGAATAGAACCAGGAAAATAATTTATTCAATAACAACAATAGTATAAAGACAAGTAACTTTGAAAGACTTAACTGATCACTGAAGTGACCCACCGTAACTCCAGAGGAGCAATGATGAAGTATTCTAGACACCTCCTGACAAAGAAGTGCTCAAGATGTAGAAATGAGACATATATTTTTAGATATGACCAATGTGGGAATTTCTTTTGCTTGATTATACATATTTGTTACAAAGATTTTGTTTTTATTTTTATTTTATCAGTGTGGTGGGGGAAGGTGAGCAAGAAAGCAAATAAATGCTTGCTAATTGAAAAAAACTAAAATTCAAGTCTAAAAACAAAATGAAATAATTAGAGGATAACCAGATGTTTCCATATGCATGCATGAATGCATATATATATATACACACACACACACACACACACACACGCATGTGTATGTGTGTAAACAAAGATACATCTATAGAAAACTACTATAAATTAGACTTGACCCATTCCCCAAATAGATAAAAATTCTGTGGACTATTTTTCTATAAAAAAATTAATTAGGATATTTTAAAAGTACATGATTTATTTTTAAGTAATACTGCTTTAAACTAAAATAATCCATAACTATCACACCATCCCAAAGTATACTTAACCACATTGATTCTTTTTCCTCTAAATTGGACAGTTTATTGGAAGAAATGAAATTAAACACTACTCTAAACTATGTCGGTTAATATTTTTATTTTCATAAGCAAATTACATTGTAAACAACAATAGTCACATAGCTTCTAAATAAGCCCTTATGTAGAAAGGAATCTACAATTTTCATTGTACAACTAATTATTTTCACATGAACATGACCTAATTCTATTGGCAACTATAATACACAGGA